AGGTGACTCTTTAAGTGCAACGTCTCACATTCTCAATTCTAAAATAAGCGATTAAAACAAGTGTTTCTTTTATTTGATTCAAATGAAAAACAAAACCTTTATTTGATAAAACAAGTGCAATTTTTCAAATTTTGGTATCGATGGTGAGTAATGTATTCACATCATCATAATGAAGCTATGATGTTCATATTCAGATGAAGTCAGACTTGGATTTACAGTCATTGAAATTTTCAACTTTTTCTCCAGTAAAGAAAATGAAGAGGTATCAGTCTGGGCCACAAAAGAGAGCCAAAGTTAGGCAGCTTCAAGCAACTATTGAAAACCAAAATAATGCTTTGGACAAATTTATCGTTATCGCGAGAATGGGTGAGAAGTCTTCTGTTTCCTCCACGTCATGTGATTGTATTGATGATCAGCCCACTGGAGATTTTTACGACGGAAAGGATCGATCCAGACATGTAGTTTGTGAAGATCAGTATGATAGGGATAATAAAATTGGAAATTTGTTGGAGGGTGAGAGATTTAAAAAATCGAATGAAGATAGTCAACAGATGCTTCAAGATGAGCCTGAAATCAATGCAGATATTGCTCTCTAGCCTACAGAACTATCTGACATACAGATAGATCACATCATCATGATCAAACTTTAGAATATTGGGAACATAAAAAGTTTGAGGTCAGTGTATGAAGATCGAGATTCACTCGATTACCGAGGATTGTCGAATGACCATTTTTTCACCGCCTCAAATCGAATGGTCTTAAAGAGAAACGAGATTGGTTTGTTTTCTCTGAGACGAGTCCAAGTGTATATTGTTGGCCATGTAGATTATTTTCTAAATCAAAGTCAAAGCTGATCAGTGGATTGCAAAATTGGAAAACAATCACCACAACTTTATCAGATCCTGAACTTTCGAAAGAGCACATCTCATCAATGTGCACTTTGTATAAAAGATCTTCAACATTGAACAGAATTGACAGGGATTTAGTGGAACAGAGAGTCAAAGAACAAATTTATTGGAAGCAAGTATTACAAAGAGTAATATCGGTAGTAAAATTTTTAGGGAAACACGGACTTGCTTTTCGTTGTCATGATGAGAGTGAAAATTCCAATCGTCAAGGAAACTATTTGACGTGTTTACAATTCTTGAGTGAATATGATGAATTTTTGAAACTCCACTCCAAGTGGAGAAATAAAAGAAAGATTCCTGTCCTTTCTACCGATCAGTCAACATACAGCAGCGCATATGGAGGAAAAAGGATTACTCTATCTGGAGAAATTAGCAATTGATATCAAACTTTGTCGAGGACAGACATATGATAACGCCTCCAATATGTCGGGGAAATATTCTGGATTCCAGGCGCGCATCAAGATGTACAGTGCAACTGCAATTTACCTTCCCTATGCAAGTCACTCGTTGAATTTGGTCATTAATTTCACTGTGGAACACTGCAGTACCGCATCTCGTTTTTTCCTCTTTGTACAGAATTTATTCACTTTTTTCTCTGCATCGACTCATCGTTGGAATATTTTGTGTTAATTCCTCAAGAAAGCTAAAAGGGTATTAACAGTGAAAAAATTATCGGATACTAGGTGGTCGGCTAGGGCTGATGCTTTACGTGCATTGAGACATAGTTACGATTGTATCGATGAAGCTTTGTCGAGCATTTGTAGTTCCAATTCAGAAAAAAATATTACGATTGTAGAAGCGAAATCTTTGTTGGCAAGAATCAGTACCTATGAAACAGCACTCATGATTGTAATTTGGGACACTCTTTTACAAAGGGCAAATGCTACTAGTAAGTCACTCCACTCTATTCAGTGTTCAGTATTCCAAGGATCCAGTCTATTGAAATCACTAGAAGATTTTATCAGACAATTCCGTGATGAATTTTCAAATGTTCAAAAAGAAGCGAGTGACATAACTTCACTGTATTTGGACAAACAGAGGGTGAGAGGTAGACCACGAAAGAGGAAAGCTTTTGCTGATGAAAAACAGGACAAACACGAGTCTCAATCAGTCACATCGCGCGAAAAATTTATTTTCGATTCATTTAACGTAATTTGTGACAATTTAAACTCGCAGGTTGTTCGTAGATCGGAAGTATATAGTGACACTGTGAAAACTTCAAAATTATTTCCGATTTAAGTCTCTCGAAGTTACAGCGTCAGGAGTACGTAGAGAAACTAAAAAAAGTTTACGTGGACGATATAGATATTATTCATATCAATGATGAATTGGAGCAATTTCTTTTTTTTTGGAGGGAAACTAAAAATACCGATGAAGACTACACTGTTGTGCAAGTATATCAGGCTGTTAAAGAGATAGCATCAACATTCGCTAATGTGGAAATTATTTTGAGAATCTTCCTTACCATTCCTATTAGTAATGCATCCGGAGAACGGTCCTTTGCCGCATTGAAGCGAGTGAAAAACTACTTGAGAAGTAACATATCAGGAAAAAGACTGAACAACTTGGCCTTGTTATATATTGAACAAGATATTTTCGATGATATTGACACTGCAAAAATTATAGATAATTTTGCGAGAGAGAAATCGAGGAAAAAATTTAATTAATTTCTCTCTTGTAGGCAAAGAAAGACTGTATTTTTTAATAAAACCGTTTATGTTGAATTCTAATTTCTCTTTGAATTTTCAATTTAATGCCTAATGAAGGTAGGTGGTGAAGAAAATTGTAATTTCTCTTTGAATTTTTTTTTTTTTTTAGTCTTCAATGTCAATTTGATAAAATTTTTCTGTCACTTATTTTCAAATTGGAGGGCCCCACGGTTGCTTCCGCCAGGGGCCTCGAATAGCCTTGATCCGCGTCTGTCAGGGGATGATTCTGAATCCATCTGTACTTATAAATTTTGACCTTTCTTTTCACCCTCACTAATACATTTTCAAGATGGCTGACGGGGTAAAAAAAGGCTCTACAGGGGCATGTAGATTGATTCACGGAATGATTAGACGGAGTTGCGGAGTCCAATCAGTGAATTGGAAAAAAATAAAAATAGAAAGGCGAACTGAGTGCATTGGAAACAAATTAGAGGTTGAGGGTGGGAAGAGTGTGCCAGGGTTCAAAGGAGGTTGATGGTGGGATGAGTTAATTCGGAACAAATGATGGTTGATGGTGAAATCAGTCATGGGGGTTTATGGTGGGATGAGTGCATTGGAAGAAATGCAGAGTTGAGGCTGGGGTGAGTTTGTCAGAGTGAAATGGGGGTTATTGGTGGGATCAGTCATGGAAACAACGAGGGTTGATGGTGGGATGAGTGGATAAGACAAAATGGGGGCTTGACGGTGGGATGAATATATGGGAGAAACTGAGGGGTTGAAGGTGGACTGAATTTATCAGGGTGGATTGGGGTTTGAGGGTGGGATGAGTGTTGCAGGGTGAAATGGGGGTTGAGAGAAGGATGAGTGCATGGGAAACAATGAGGAGTTGTGGGTTGAATGAGTGTGTCAGGGTGAAATGGCGGTTGATGATGGGATGAGTGCATGGGGTAAAATTAATTGTTGAGTGTTGCATAAGTGTGTCAGGGTGAAATAGGCATTGATAGTGCGATGAGTCATGGGAAAAATTCCCATTTCTACCAGACACACTCAACCCACCGTTAAGCCCCCATTTTTTCCCATCTACTCATTCCACAATCAACCCTCATTGATTCCATGACTGATCCCACCGTCAACCTCCATTTCACCCTGACCCACTTACCCCAGCATCAACTCTGCATTTCTTCCAATGCACTCATCCCACCATCAACCCTCATTATTTACATGACTCATTCCACCATCACCAATCATTTTTGCCGAATGAATTCATCCCACCCTGAATCTCCTTTGCACCTTGGCACACTTTTCCCACTCTCAACCCCTAATTTTTTTCCAATGCACTGATTGGACTCCGCAACTCTGTCTAATCGGTCCGTAATCAATCTACATGCACCTGTAGACCCTTTTTTTACCCCGTCGGGCATCTTGGAAATGTATAAGTGAGGGTGGAAAAAAAAGGTTGAAATTTATAGGTACAGATCGACTTAGAATCACCCCATGAGTCGATTTACCCACCCCTGTAAAGACTTTTTCTTTACCCCATCGGCCATCTTGGAAATGTATTACGGAGGGTGGAAAAAAAACGCCGGAATTTATAGGTACAGATCGACTCAGAATCACCCCCTGAGTCGATTTACCCACCCCTGTAAAGAATTTTTTTTTACCCCGTCGGTCATCTCAAAAGAGGGTTAGTGAGGATCGAAAAAAGTGCATTGCTCATTTGGGTACATCTCCCCCCCCCTCCCCCTCCGCCCCCCTCACCACACTCCAATGTATTTTCGCTTGTTATTTGTCGGGACAGGTTCCGCTCCTGATAAAACCAAATGGGAAGTAGTTCTCCGCAACACTTGATTACACCCAACAGGTGGTTAACGTCATAAATTTTCATGATTGATGATCACAACATCATCGACCACCAATCACAATTACTCAGGCCTGCGCGAGAGTTACAGATAGCCAATAGCCATAAGCCATGTGTCGGAAATAGAACTATAAAAACTAGGAGAATCGAAGAATTTGGTTGGGCAGACCTCCAAAATGCAACATCTTTGGTTGAACTTTGCGGATAGCTTCCAATTAAATTGCTTCCAATACCATAATACCTTGTTCCAGTTGAATCCACTTCAACTGTTCAGATGAAATGGTTGAGCTTCCCTGATGAATCGACTAAGCCATCCTTTGTAGGTTTTGTCTTTGCCGCAGCAGTGGTTTTATACCATTCGATCAGGGCGGATTCTTGCAAATTATTACAGAGTCCTATGATCGAGGACAGTAGAATATCAATAATACGTATTGGAGTAAGGAATTCCATTATTATGCCGAGCTTCAATCTGACTGTCTCGGAATTAATGTAGACATCCCACCCGATTATGCCGTATTCATTTATCGTTATTAATTTAAAACATATAATGAACTACTGTTGATAATCAGTATGTTGTATTTGCAGATACTTATCCGGGAAATTCAGGAGAAAGTTTCTGTAGCAGCGATCTTTCGCTCGATGGTACAGAAGCTGGTTTTGATATTGGAGAAAACGAGAGTACAGGAACGGACGGAACTCATCAAAATGCTCACTCTCATCATGCAGGGTCATCCCACGAAGCGCCAACCTTATCTCAGAGTTTACATGCAGCAATGCATAATCCTATCGACAAACTCTTTATGATGCAGGATAGCTACTTCAGAGGAGATCACGCGTAATTCGAATTTGATTTTGTTGATTTAAGAATGGTACTCATTAATTTACACACATCACTTTCAATTTATCTTCCTCATATCTAATAATTGATCATCGTCGTTCGCATTAATTAATTCTATGTATTTGGTTGTTAATAAATGTCACCCAATCAGAAAATTGAATACATTTCTTAATTTAACATTTGATATTATGGGGGGTCATTCATTCACTAGAGATGTAACGCCTTATTGGAATATGGTCTGCTCATAGTCGAATTCATTAAATGAAGTGCCATCTGGATGTATCATTTGTTTTTCAATGTCTGACGGTTTTCTCTTTATTTCTGTTTAAACATTAATATTTAATTTACTCTTCCAGATTTTACATTATGTCGATAGAAATCTACTTTGAATAATAAATGAGTGGTGCCAGATGGTATGAGTTTGGTCGGTCTTTTACGAATGTATCTCAATACCTCGACGATACTCCAACCTAATTCCTGACCCACATTTCCCTCTAGCTATCTTATCACCAACTTCACAGTCTATAGGTTTGTTTTCCAGAGACTTTTTCATCATCGAGATTCAAACTTGCGCTACATGCGATGCATCGTTCCTAGGGCCAGCCTGTTGCTAGAACTAATTATTCAATTGTAAATAATTATTTCGTTACTTATTCATTTATTGCAACACCGATCTGATTGAGCATGTAGACCTTAGGAGACACTCACGAGTAGTACACCAAATAAAGGAAAATTATAGAGTTACACATTAAAAAGGAACACTCGATTCCATACTTGATCCCGATGGACCGGGTTTCATTAAACATGTACATTTCCTCCCATGTTCCGGAAATTCCTCGTCGACTTTCAAATTTTATCGTGGAAGATATTAATGATCAAACTTGTGTTACGGATCCCGCAGTTAATCATTTTGGGTTCCGTAGGCAAGAATATCGGGTCCCTAACGAACACAAAAGTGTACAAGTTTGATGCTTCTCCACCTCATGATAATAGTTGATGAGAACACAGACAGCCTGCAGCGAAGAACATCAGATAGACGAGAGAAAACAGTGTAGAACTGAGAAGCTAATCCCTCTGACAGGTACTGTGGGCAACTCGAATATCACTATGGCAACTAGAGACCTCAAAAATGTTATGATAAGAGTTAACACAACTTAAGACGACTTCCTCCAGTGACAAACAATATCTTCAGTTAGCCTCCGCGACCCACTACGGAGAACATACGGCTGTCAGAAGGAAGAAAGCAGTGGACGATTTAATTTTACCTGGTACGATTGACTCGCTACCGTGGCAACACTTACCAGGTTCTTGCCTGATCATCGAGATCCGTGACAATCTCATCACACTAAATCTTCAAACACCAAGTATCTCGCATGTAACACTCTTCCTGATCTCGTTCCGGAGCTCAAAAATACTTATTACCTTCGCCCGTTCCCATGCTCGCATCCTAATAGTCCAACCGAATTAATACGGGCGCCAGCTAGCTTTTTATGGGTTAAAAGTTAACGAAAACCAAAAGAACCGAAACCAGGCTGAGGAGGTGGGATGCCCTGTCTCACCTGAGGTCCGTAGACCTTCCAAATCCCAAAATGTATCCTAAATCCAAAAACCAGAGCACGAAGAGATAGGACGAGTGGGGTTGGAACTCGCCCCCGCGACAACTCAAAATCCGAAAAGCCATATAATCCGAGAGGGGACACGGGCAACCGGCGATCGGAGGGACAATCCGCAAGAAGCTAAAAACGGCTGATGAACGGAACGGAAGTGGGTAGGCGTGGGGTTGCTCAGGATGCTACGTCGTGGAAAAAGGGCCTGGGTCCACGAATACGTGAATCTAATAATCCGTCAAAAAGAGACCGCGAGATATTTCAACGCGTGGATCGGGACACTGAGAGCAGGTGTGCGGGAGTCCGAGGCGCGAGAACTAACCTCGAGGACCACCTCGCCGAGTAAGGTAAGCGGAGTGTCGGGATGCCGAGAGCGTGGGGAGGAACTCGCACGAATCACACCATTGAGGGTGCGGCGGCTTCACTAGAGTCGCCCCAAAGATAGGGAGCGTATCCCGGAAGAGTAGGACTCTCATCCAGAAAACGTCATGCGAGGGGAGTATTGCTCCCATCTCGGGATCGTGGGAGAGCGTAGCCCTCACCTAGAGGACGTCAAGAGCAATGCGGGGCATTGAGAGCCGACCAAGGACTCAAGAGAGAGCTGCCAGTGGTCCGCACTGGGAGCCAGCCGAAGCGGCTCTCTCGAGTAAGGGGGTAGTCTGGGTAGGATTGCCAATGCCCCCCACTCTCGAGTACGGCTGGGTGGGCTGCCGTGTGCCGGGACGTGCTGCCCTTGCCGTCGCATGGATATCACCGACAATAGCTTCTCCTGGAGCGCGCCGAATCCGAATGATCAGCCGTTGAATGCCCGCCCCATCTAACATGGAGCGCTCATACACCAGTATGAGTCCTATGCTGAATGCCAGGAAGTCTCATAGAGGAACTGGGAACGTTCCTATATGTCCGCCCTGTCCGGATACCTACCTTCAGGCCTCCTAACCCCCTAAGCACTCGGGCCCCAGTCCTCACACCCTTTGATGATTCGAGAAATTCCCGGGGAGGGTCGAGATAGCAGACATAGCAAAGAACTTAGTTCTAGGGATCCAAAAATCGAGTTTAACGTGCGGGATTTCCTAAAATCTCGTTACACACTAACTATAGGGATATTTTCATTAAAAGAGAAGGAAAACTCTCCTGCCATAACTTTTCGGTTAGTCACCCGGTTCCCGAATTATCTCTACATCATCGAACGGCTAACTTGCTTCTTGAGCACCAATGAATCTCCGGTCCTGAAGCACTGCGGTTGAGCTCACAAAACGATCGAACTTGATTTGTTTTCCCCAACTCACCGACACCAGTCGTAATCGTAAGTCCAACGCATACAAAATTCACACGAAAAAATCACTCTCTTCCATATTTTCAACCACTCGTGGCTCCTTGGTGATACCTCCAACTCATAATCTGTTTTCCTTGCCGCTGGGTATGGATGCACCTGCATGGCCCCTTTCATACTGTTGCTAATTTTGCTGAACTTTCATCTACTACATTTCATGGCTAGACATTATCAGCCAGGTTACCGACTAAAATACCAACTGTAGACATGACCGACTGGAATACCGACCATAGACATTGCCGACTAGGTTATGGACAAAAATACCAACTGTAAAGATGGCCGACTGGAATACCGACCATACACACTCCCGACTAGGTCACCGATTACAGTTACAGACTGGCATGGTACAAGAACGGCTAGATCCAAATACTAGAAGTATGAAAAATTAGAAATAATAATAAGTATTAGAAGCAAGATTGGTGGTAAAAGCCAAATCAAGAATACGGAATTAAGTAAATGCTAACTGAAAACACCACGAGGACCAACGGTGCAGAAGTACAATGTACTAGAAGCTGACGAAGCCAAAGCAGCAACCTTCAGGCAATGAGGCCATGGGATATCACCTCCAAAAATCGACATCGCCTGAGGACAAGAACCCCGGGTTATGGAACAATTGGACATTGTCCTCAGTGCTGACAGTAGCACAAATCTTATATAAAAACTCAATACAATTAAGAATTAAGCAGAGTTTACTTTCGAACTTCTCCGAGTTGTCATTTTGAGGTGGAGCAGACGATTGCTCACCTCATACCCTCCCCTACTGGAGCAGACGATTGCTCGGAAACCTGCCTACCCGAACGATAAGTATTAAAACACCCCGAGAAGTTCTGTATCTTGCAAGTATGAAGTGATCCAACTACATGAGGAAGACTAGGCGAGCTGGAAGAAAATATCAATTGAGGAAATTGGCCGCAATTTATCGGACTCCTCAACTAGTGGACCTGGACAGCCTCCTGAAAACTAATAGAAGCCACCACCGCATCCTCTCGACCGCAAATATCCCGAGACACTTCGCGGAATTTCCACATAAACCAAGCAAGTGCACTGGACTGCAGTACGAATACCACTTCGTTTCCCGGGTTCTCCTCCACCGACTTCGTCACTCGACACCTAGATACAGCGTCCAGAGATACCACCAACCACAACCTCGCCCTTCACCCCCGACACCGCCATCTCTCCAGAGTCTAACGGTCTCCACGAGGTCACCAATCCACAAAAAGACAAGGTTAGTGAAGAACTTACCATAAAGTGTTAGGAAAGGACTTCTCTCGGACCCTTTGGCGTCCGTCAAAGTAACTTCGCACATAATTCAGTCCTAAACCGTACCTAGGACGTGACAGCACATTTCCATTTTTCACATTTAGAGTTCTAGTATTCGAAAGAACATTAATAATTACCGAAAACCATTTCAGAAATATATTCTCCAATGTTTGTCATTGTAAATTGAAATTTTTTAATTTTAGATTTAAAATTAAAAACTGAAAATTTGCGCCAATTCTGGCGGGTCAGCCATTTTTCTTCGACTTGCACGCCCCTCTACGTGGCGGACGAGAATATCGTCACCACTGGAATTCATTCGCCCACAAGGGTTGGCTAATTGGGTACCCATTAGGATGAGAGGATTATACCGACCCTTGTAATAAGCTGGCTCCCGACTACCTGAAGGTTGCCGCGCCCTGCCTTACCCCATACGAGAAAAGACACCACACGCAATGCTGTGGTATCTGCCCGTTAGCCAACTCAGCGACTTCTCAGTGGCAGTTCCGTTGCCACACGGACCAATCGAAGGATGGGATGTTGTCCTCTGCGCGATCAAAATGTTTTTCCTTTTTCTTTTTTTTTCAGGGTGCCCTCTAAAAATAAAGCGATTGGGAAAAAGCCTGTTAAGAATCTTTAAACGGTTGATGAGAAAATAAATTAATTGAGGGTATGACTTCCCCGAGGGTTAACAATTAGGAAGTAATATATAGGACAGATTATATTGTTCATTTGTCAATAGGTGTCTTGGCTGATAGGCAACGTGCTTCGTTGACACGCGGATCACCTGTGTTCGAACCCAGTCGCAATTCGTTTTCTTTGTCTATTATCAATAAAGTATCATTTTTGTTGGTTGGCCGACAATCAATCAATCGAATTACCGACTCATAGTTCTTATGAGATATTTAGATTTTTACTTATTTATATTTATTAGTAAATA